CGAGGTCGATGGGATCGATACCGCTAGATCCATGTCGCCGCTGAAAGGTTGGCCGCCGAATTGGACCCTGCAGGCTGACCGCGCCGATCCGCACGCGGAGGGAAGAACCCTGTGGGACAAAAAGCCTCCGCGCGCAGGTGCCTTGCCAGAGGAGCCTCCGCCTCCTGCGCCGCCGCCGCCGCCGCCGCCGCCGCCGCCGGCAATCTTGGCGCGAAATGTGGGGAGCGCCTGGAGCTTCGCGGTCGCGACCCGCCGTCGCGGCGCGGCTAGAGGGCGCGAGGGTGAGCGGGTCCTCCTTGATCTCTCCGAGCAGCGAGTCGAGCAGCGCGTCGCCCGCCTCGTCCTTGGAGGCTGCCTTGCCCGCCTTGCCGCCCAAGTACCTGCCAGAGGAGGGGGAGGCGCGAGCGAGTGAGGGGAGGGAGCTCAGAGGGCACCGCCGAGGCGCGAGGGCCGGGAGGGAGGAGAGGCAGCGGTGCGGAGGGGGAGTGAGGCGAGGGGGGTGGATGCGAGGGTCGGGGAGGGCGGGCGAGGGTGGTAGAAGGAGGGGGTGGCGGCGGCGACGCAGAGGGAGGGCTCGGCTCGCAGGGTCGCGAGGCGGCGGCGGCAGTGGCACGCGGCGGCAGCGGCCGGGGGGGGCGGGGGGGGAAGCGTGCGATCCGTGTGAACGGCGGAGGGCGTGGGGCGGGGCTGGAGGGATGGGGCGGTGGCAGCGAGCTGCGCAGGCGCGGCGGCAGAGCGGGGGCGGGCGCACCTCTCGGCCTGCCCCCAGAAACATGCCGTTGACGCGCTCCGTGGCCTTCTTCTTTGCGCGCGGCGCCAGGTTGTTGAAGAGCCCGCGGCCCTTGTCGCCCGGCTTCTTCGCCCGCTTGACTCCCTCTCCCTCGTCGCCAGAGTACGCCTCGTCGTCAAAGTCGTCCTGGCCAAAGTCGACGTAGTCGCCCTTGCCCTCGTCGTCCTCGATGAAGTTCTCCTCGCGTCTCTTGGCGACGTGATCCGCGTACGCCGACTCGTCCATCTCGTCGTAGACGTCATCCTCCACTTGCAGCTGCGCGGCGACGGCGGGCGGGAGGCGTGAGGGCGCGAGGCGGTGGGGCGCGTGGACGACGGAGCGCGCGGGTGGAGCGACGGCAGCGGGCGGGGCGGGTCGGCGGGCAGCAGACAATGCGCGAGGAGGGCGTGGCGGCACAAGGCGTCCGGCGCGTGATGGCGGTGCTCGCGCTTGGTCGCCGGCGTGCGCTGGTGGGCCGGCGTGCGCAGGGCGGCGCCTGAAACTGGTCGGAACGCTTCGTCCCGCCCTTCTTGAGCTCAGCCAGTGCGGCGAGCGCCGCGCCCTTGGCGGTCGTCTTCTGCTGACGCGCCGGGCGAGACGACATCGCGCTTGGACGAAGAACGGTTTATGGTGCGATGGCGGGAGAGCGATTTCGGTGGGAAGGGCTGCAGAAGGGGTCCCCCCTTCTACCTCCGTTTCGGCCTGCCTGTCTGCGACGGCCGTCACTCCCCTCCCAATCCGTCGCTTTCCGTCACTTGGAAAGCCGGGAAAGTTCGCACCTCGTGTGTCACGCGGCCACTCCAGCGTTGGGGTATGACGCGCACCATGCTCGAGGCCGCCACCGCCTCCACCGTCCCCAAAACGAAGTGGGGCGTGAACCTCCAGCGCAGCATGCGCCATGCAACCTCCTACGAGTGCGTGGTCAAAGATGTCCAGCGCGCACAGCGCAACGCGCGCACTCCCGTCCCCCCGATTCCAGGCAACGCATACCCGAGGGACGGCAAGTATGTCGGCCGCCCTTCGCCCCAGAGAGCCAGCAGCTCGTCGTCTGTGTCGGCCCCAAAGAGAATCTGGCAAAGGAGAGCGCGACTGGGCTTGCCTCCGGACTGGAGCATGACTTTAAGCCACGCACCCAATCGCGTCTGGCTGGCATTAGCACCATGGGAAGTGGAAACGAAGGTGTGTCCAATCTTGAAATTGCCGTCTTCGAGGCCAATCGCGAGAATGCACACCGGATCCAAATCGAGGACGCCGAGGCCATTTTTGAGCACAATGGAAAGCAGCTGATTGCCCAATTTTGGCTTATCGAAAATCGCCACAGCGTTCCCCTTTGCGGAACACTGGCCGTACACCATCTTCAAGTTCTTTTGGCCGGAGGCGGTCTTGTCGGAGAGAGCGTACTTGTCATACACCACTTCGGCTTGAGCAATGAAGTCCGGATCGAGGATGGAAGGGATGCCGAGCTCTGCTGCGCGTTTGGGCGACACACCGAGGTAAAGCGCTCGTCCGCCTGGAGCGCCCACCACCGCGCAGGCCCGGCCGTGCGATGTGTTACGATCCTTCTGCGTGTAGCTCAACATGTAAGCCCAGCCGCCCTTGGAGTAGAGGGGAGTGGCTTCCTCATCGATCAGACTGGAGCCTTTCATGGAAGAGGGCCAGATGATGTCGTCCGGCATGTCTTGCGCCAGGATGGGAGAGATGACCGACCAAAAGTGCGCCGCGATCGTTCTTGCAGTCATGCCTGCCTTGTACCACATCTCCGTCACAGCCTGCAGATGGAACTCTCCAAACCGCTCGCCAACCTCGGTGTTCGCTGAGCAGGCGGTGAACTTTGGTCGCGACTTGGTGTCGCTGATCTCAGAGGCAAAGAATCGATACAAGCTCTGAAGAGCTCTGAAGCACGCGTTCATCTTTTGCATGTGAGTGAGCTGCGTTTTGGGATCGGAGGTGTGTCCCTCTTTCTCCGGCGCAGCATACCACTTGATCAGGTATCGCCCCAAGCCTTCCATCTCGGAGCGAGAGTCGCCGAGGAGGGCTGCCGCGGCGGCACCAGCCGCGTCATTGTGTTTGGGCGTCGCATCGATCAGAGCCGGACCGGCTGGATGTGACGCTCCATCGGCCATCTGCGCCAACGATTGCGCAGCAAGCTGAACGGTTGCGTTCGCAGCAGATGAGGTACCCGCCCCTGTTGCCCGGAGGCGTTCCACAATCTGCTCTTTGTCTTTTATGCGTCGCCAGCGGCCCTCGCAGCTGTGTGTCGTTCGGCGCAGACGACTCGCAATCTCTTTCCACGTCACAGCTGGCTGGCTGAGCATGCGAGCACGGACCATGAACTCGTCTTCTGAAACGCTAAAGCGTGGCTGACCGTGGTCCTGTACAATCGAGGGTGGCGGTGGCTGCGGTCCTTCCGTACCCGAACCAATGGGGTCACTGGACTGCTGCACTGTGGAGACAACCTGCTGACCACTGTCAGATGCGCCCGGAAGCTCCACGTGCGGCACAGCTTGAACGCGCGGCACAGCTTGGATAATGGATGTATCATCTAAGAAGGCAACAGCGTCGCTTGGCGGCTGGTTTGCGACATCCGTCGAGAACATCTGTCCGTTGGCAGATGCTGGCTGGTTGGTGCTCATACCGAGGCTGACTGCGGCGGTGGTTACGGAATCGACGGGAACGGCAGGCGGGGCAATTACCTCGACGATCGGGGCGGACATTGTGCTGTAGCGGATTTGGAGACTGCGAGTGTCGCTTCGTTTTGGTTTCCTTGCGACGGAGAAAGGTGGGCACCTTGAACTTAGCCACGTGGGTGATCACGAGGCCCCGAGGCCCCGACCGATGCCCGAGGCCCCGAGTTCACCCGCCATTAACGTAAACTGGCAGACCGTGGTCAGATTTTATTTTTGGTTTAACGAATCCGGCGGCAGGGAGACAGAAAGACAGAGACAGAGTTGCCATTTTGCAGAGAGAGGCTCTTGGACGGACGGTCGATAAGGGGCATATCACTCTATACCTCCCCAACCCAGCTCGTCCGCGCGCGCGAGAGAGAGAGGACGCGGTGCGGTGACGGCGATGCAGACGCGAGACGGACAGACCGGGCGGCGCCGCTGGTGGGTGGAACTCGCGGGCCGACCCTCACACACAGACAGACTCGACAGACTCACAGACAGAGACAGGCAGGCCAGGCAGGCGCACACTGACAGAGAGAGAGAGGGACGCTGCCCCTCCTGAGCCTCACAGTCTCCCACACACACGCACGAGTACAAATACGCGCGAGGCATTCTTGCCCCCGTTCATGAAAATTGAATTTGTGTTGGTGGAGACTGGTAGAGAGGGCGGCGCGGCTGGAGGCGAGGGCGAGAGCGGCGGCATGCCGGACGGCGGCGGAGGCGAGGGCGGCGGCGGGGCGGGCGGTGGCGGCGAGGGTGGCGGCGACGGAGGCGGCAGCGGCGGCGGGTGGGAGGGCGGCGGCGAGGGCGGAGACGAGGGCGGCGGAGGGGAGGGCGGATGCGAGGGCGGCGGCGAGGGCGGGGGTGAGGGCGGCGGAGGGGAGGGCGGATGCGAGGGCGGCGGCGAGGGCGGGGGTGAGGGCGGGGGCGGCGTCGGGGGCTGCGATGGTGGCGGCGGCGTGGGGGGCGGCGAGGGCGGGGGCGGCGAGGGCGGTGAAGAGGGCGGCGGCGGCGAGGGTGGCGGCGAGGGTGGCGGCGGCGAGGGTGGCGGCGACGGGGGCGGCGGCGGTTGGAGGCGAGGGCGAGAGCGGCGGCATGCCGGACGGCGGCGGAGGCGAGGGCGGCGGCGGGGCGGGCGGCGGCGGCGAGGGTGGCGGCGACGGAGGCGGCAACGGCGGCGGCGGGTGGGAGGGCGGCGGCGGCGAGGGTGGAGACACCGCCGAGCCGC